ACAGTCCACAGCCCAAAGTACGCCTTGCTCGGTTCGAAGTCCACGAATTGTGACATCAAGTATCGATTTCTGATGACTGAGTATGAGTCTAGGAGAGCAGTGAGAAGACAGATGGTGAAATCACATTCTTCGCGTGGAAGACCTGCAGACACCTGTTTGATGCGAAGCTGTTGTAGGTGATTGATTTGAGGTCCAAATGGAAGTGACTCGTTGAATCGAAAGCTGAACAGTTGCGAACAAAGATAGAATGCTGTGAGGAGACCCTTGCTCTTGTATGAATCTGACAAAGCTTTCCAAGTGGCAGCTGCGCTGGTAGTGTTGAGGACAAGCAGGATGCAGGTAGGCAAGATTGCGAGATTGATGGTGATCTTTGCAGCCTTGTCCTTCTTGATCCATTCATCAAGCTTGGTCTGGTTGCTCATTGGCTTTACTTCTGTGCCGTTCACAATATCCCAAGCCTCTTCCGATTCGAACATGTTCTGAAGTCAGAATGCCCACTTATCCCAGTTTGTCACGACCCTGGCGAGATGTGATGTTATTGAGGACGCCGACGGATCGGAGAAAGGGGATAAGTTAAGTTATATCCGGGTTTTGCCCACCATACTACACGAGGCATTGAAGTGATGGACGCGTCAGCGCATTTGTCAGCGCATCAGTCAGCGCCGTGTGGTATTCGCATGTTTCTCAGTAAGCTATGGTCATGGGTTGTAGAACGTTCCTTTGTATTCCGCCACCTTCCGGTCCTTTCTCTCTACGTCTCTCGTGTATATAAATACTAGCCTAGGTGAGGAGGGTTGTTCCTCACTTTGCCTCTTGTATACTACCAGTCAAAGTATCTCCCCAGTCCTCGTCCTAGCGTGAATACGTTCGCCTAGGGATCTCTCTCTGTTCACCACTCAGTAACGACCTGCACCCTCAGCACCCCAAGTCTCTAGTCTCAGTACCAGTCCTCTGACTGACGTCGAGGTCTGACACAGTTGTTGGAACCTTTGAGCAGTTCAATCCCTTGGAGAGCTTGTACGTGCTGGGGATCGTTCTCTGGAAGTTGTTCGGAGCACTTGTCATGATGCCCATTGTACTGTTTCTGTTCGAGCCACTGCCTGAGCCAGTTTGTTTGGAGTCTGACATTTGTCAAGATGTAGGAAAGAGCGAAGAAAAGAGGGAAGAGGGTGGTATGAACCGAAGGGGTGAACTAACAAGAGAAGCGTCTGTGTTAGAAGTCAAGTCGCGTGTGAAAGGTGACACTGACTGTGGGAGAGTTTGAGCTGCCGCACGGAATACATAGATAGGATCTGTAATTAGAATAGTAATTAGTAATGAATATGGAATGTAAACGTACAAGGTTAATTGTGGGGATTAGACGTAACTGATATTAGAGTAAGAGGTGTAAGAGTCGAAAGTGGGAATGGGTTGGCTTGAGGGGTGGGGTTGTGGGAACAACCTTGAGGCGTTCGTGGCGTAGGCGGTCATCGTGAATTAGGAATGATCTTATTAGAGTAGTAGATCTCTATATTCGTATGATTAGAATATATTATTTAATTAGTTCTATCATATGTAGAATATAGAGAGATGAGCCGAGTTTTCGAAACTGGGCACGAGAAGCGATTGCCTAAAGAGGTAGTCGTGGCTGTCTATTTACCGGAATAGATTAACGAATTTCCTATTATCAAGATAGGACTACGAGGTACCTATTTATCGGAATAGGCGAACGAGGGGTGCGTGCAAGGTGCTTTGAATTTAGTAGGGGTGAAAAGTGGGGCAAGGAGACTTCTTTGTCCCCTCGCTCGTATTTATTAATGAACTAGGAATTATCTAGGTAAGACTAGAGCATTCTACATAATTCTATACTATTCTACGTAGTGCTCCAGAGTTGTCGCGGCTCTGCTTTTTGCTAGGACAAACCTGACGACGAGACTGCGTCCAGGTCACGTGGCCTGTGTGCTTATCGCTTCACAAGCGAAAGGAAGCGCCCAGGCTTGTTAGTGCAAGTCCTATATTAGGTAAGTTTATTCTAGTATTCGTTTTGTCAAGCTTAAGGCATTTAAACTAGGCAATTTGATTACTAAACTTTGAGCAACACCGGTTTCCCAAATTAGGCAAAGAGGTATTTATTAATTGTAACTAATCTAATTATTTGCCCTTTTTCAGGCGCTTTCATGGACGTAATTTGGAAACGAAAAAGGGAAAGTATTATTTGTAGCTTATTTTATCTAATTAGGAAGGGAAGGGTGGGTGTGGCCGTGGCGATTCCCACGGTTCCATAACAGTCTGGGTGGTAGGTGTGAGGGTGTGGATTCGAGTGTGAACTGGTGGTGATGCTGGATCAGTCAGTTACTCTGCACCCATAACCTGATGTAAACCACTGAGACGTGCTCATGTCAACAATAGTTGCTATAATAATAAATAATGATCTAACTACTTATCTGACAGGTGCTGGTGTCAACGATAGTTGAGTAGTACTCTCAGGCGCACAACAAACTCTACTTACACCCCGCTGAACAAACACGTACAAAGTATATACAATACAACAGTTATATGTATCACTTTCCAGGACTAAGGTGTGAGGATCCGGAGGACCATTGGGAATGTGAGTGTTGTGGGTGGTGCCAATGTATCTGTTTTCATGTGAGGGGCTTTCATGGACTTAAACATAATAGGCCAGGAATCTTCTGTGGACTGAAGATGACACAGTTGAGGGCCAGAGGTTTGGGGTTAGCTACCTCTTTAAGCTGTCAGTTAGCCACTTTACTGTTTCTCACTGTTTGCCATTGATCTTCAACCCCTAGTAGGGGTGCAGGCACAGGTCCATCAGTACTAGGCTGTACATGGAAAGGACCTGTGGTAGCAGTAAAGAGAGATTGCTCACCTTAATGATCTCAGATGTGCAGGGTAGTCACTGTGTGGAAGGGGCTGCTGCATCCTCAAGAGGAGCATCAACTTGAGACTCAACAAGCTCATTGCTGATGGGTTGATCAAGTGGTACAAGGCCAGGCTCCTGGCTCAGGGGAACACCCAGATTCCCAGTGTAGATTTTGTACACACCTATTTGCCCACTCTCCGTCTAGACTCTCAGCACACAGTACTTGTACTTGCAGCCATCAACAGACACATGCTATGTCAGATGGACATCAAAGGAGCATAGCTGAATGGGGTCCTGAAGGAGAAGATCTACATGATGCATCCAGAAGGATTTGACCATAGAACCGGCAGGGTCTGCTGGCTAATCGAAACCCTTTAGGGACTCGAGCCATCTGGGTGCAAATGGAACCCAAAATTCAATCAGGATATGCTTAATCTTGGCTTCAATAGATCCAAGGTGGACCCTTGCATATACACTTGAGTAATCGAAAAATGACTTACCATTGTAATGTCTTGGGTAGATGACCTTGGATCCAGCGGGAGATCAACTGCATCTTTGACATGAAGAACCTTGGATTACCAAAGTATATTCCCAGCATTGAAATCGACCACATTCCAGATGAGTACAAGATCCTATTATGGCAATCAGCATAAATCAAGTCTTTACTCTACCATTTTGGGATGGAGGACTGCTGTCCAGTCACCACCCCTATGGATCCGAACACTGCACTGAAGAAGCGCACCTCCCACCCTATCAACAAGGGTCTCTACTCCCAGGCATTTGGCTCCCTCCTATGTGCAGCAGTATGCACCTGGCCCCACATCACCTACACACTGCAGGCCCTCAGCCAATAGGCCATGAACCTGGGTGAAGAGCATTGGATTGCTGTCGAGCATGTCCTCAGGTACCTCAAGGGAATGATCAACCTTGGACTCACCTATGGAGGAGATGGATTTGGTAGTGATGTCATGGATGGCTACATGGAAGTGGACTGGGCATCTAATGAGGATCCAAAGTCAATCTAAGGGTACGTGCTTATTTTGGCCAGAGGCGCAATTTCTTGGTCAGCAAAGACACAGCCAATTGTATAGCTCTCCTTGACCGAATCAGAGTACATCACTGGCAGTCACATGGCGCAACACCTAATTTGGCTATGATCCCTTGTGTTGGAACTCGGTGCACCCCAGCCCCCTCAACTCTCTTTATAGATCATCAATCTGCCATTGCCCTTGCCCGCAACAACCGATTTCACACAAGAACAAAACACGTAGACATTCAATACCACTACATATACAAACTAGGACAACAGGAAGTCCTGGAACTGGAGTACTGCCCAATTGGAGATATGGTTGCTGATGTGTGACCAAGGCGCTCGCACGGACTCTCCACTTAAGTCATACCTATAGCCTCGGCCTTATGACAGCTTGAGGGGGAGTGTTGAAGTTTGGGCTGTTGACCAGTCCAATGGAGTCATAAGTTCAGTGGGAGTGGCATGGGGGAGTGTGAATGTGGAGACTGAGGGTGGGAACCCTTGAGTCATCCAGCTAAATAAGGAATTCCCCATTAAGGGAATTCCCGTTTTTAGTTTCTCATCTCTTAACTATAAATGTACAACCAACCAATAATTTGTTGACTAGAATAAAATCATCACTTTTCATTATATTTACTGGACAACTAGTAGCAACCACATCCCTGCTGCTCAACATTGAATGAGGATAAGCACAGCATTGTTGTTGCCATAGACAATCATAGGTTCCTTGTGCAGACATCCAAGGTTTTTGAGCACTTCCCTGAGCCAGACAGCTTGTAGAGTGACATTGCTAAGTCCCAAGTACTTGGCTGCTCGCTCCCTCCACAGGTTCTGATATATAGGTGGCTACTCTAGATCTAATCTATGTCCGAAGGTCGTAGCACCTGTCCTGGTACTGTATCTTCATCCTAAACCGTTCCACAACTTCAACTCCAGGTTGGGTGAGCCGGACTGCCCAACCAATGACAGCCCAACTGACGCCTCAAGGGTATGAGAACAAAGGCACCCCAAAGGCTGTGTGGAGGTGCACACCTTTGGGCAAGTACCCAACAGTGGCAGGAAGGAGACTGGAGGCACGCCAAAACTGCACCGCAATGCGCACAAAATAACTGGCCTCACTGGGACTTGAACCCAGGTCTCCACCATTAGGCTATTGATAGCCTGAAATCCAAAGGGTAATCGCAGACCCATAAACTGAACAACCAGTGGGGCCATCGGCACACAACACCGCAAGAAGCACTAAATCACTGGTGCTCTGACCACTGAGCTAAAAGGCTGCATGAAGCAGGCCTCCTTGAAAAACAAATATACTCTTCATCCGAGTGAACAAGCCATGTCAAGTGGGAAAAATGTGGGTGATCGTGGTCTAGGAGCAAACACAGCCCTGCAGTGAAAATTTTTTAAGTGAAGTCAAACCGCCACCCTGCAAGCCCAATATGGCATGGTAACGTGTTTCGTACTTTTAATCCGGTATGCATTATATTTTGGTTTCAACCCCCTCCCAGCCGTAACTCAACCCTGGAGATTTTTAGGGTTGTCCCAATATCTATGGGCCGCGGCGGTGTACGTCTAGGAGGAACAATACTGCATATGTTTACCATCAAGGACATTGCCAGCAGGATTAGTTTGAACAACTCCTCACATTGACAAAGAACTCATCACATTGACAAAGAACTCACTCACTATTGAAGGGTGGTTGCTCCTTGTCAAGGCTGCTGAATACTTGAAATTAAAATGTAGCACATGATTTAATATTGCCCCTTAGCTCAATTTTGATCAACTGTTATAAAACCTTCCACATTCCACTTGCATCTTACAAAATACTAGCTCTATTATATTTGTATTTCCAAGGTTCAGTAGCAGTGAGTTTTAGGAATGCTTAAATTGCTTTTAAAAGAAGAGCGCAATAATACTAGAATGGAACTCAGCAAACCAGACACAAAAGGGAGTTAGTTGCCTCCTGCATATATGATTATAAGACAATTCCTACACAGAATGTGTCCTAAGTAAGGGGAGAGGATTTTGGAGATCTGTATCATAATCAAAATAAGTAAGTGGTGCCTTGGCATCTATATTAGAAAATGACAATCCAGCCTGTGATCATGTCACGATGTCTGATGAAAGGAAAAAGGAGAAGCAAGATAAGCAATGAAAGTGAGGAAAGTGAGAGAGCAAATGGATCCATAATCACTTGAATTGAGCATTCCATGCTCGGAACAAAAAAGGGTTTTTACATATACAATAGAATTTGAGCAATACTATTTTGATTAGTTGAATGGCATGAGAGAAAGGTCAAGAGCAGAAAACATACAAGACCTATTGATGATCTATCAACATTTGGAGAATATTTGCATGACTTTAAATGTGGACAGTGAATACTATGAGAACAATGGCTTTTGATTGAACCAACCTCAACTTGGATCTCATTCTTGGTCCCACCTAATCTCATAAAGAAACCATGCTCAAAACACCAAATCACCAACTGTGAGAGTTCACTTCAGGATTATTGTCAAGTTTTTATAGATACTTACCTACAGACCAACATGCCCATCAAAACTCACTATTAAGGAGTTACTATTGAGAAGCAGCAACAAGGGCTGTCAGTTTCAAAATGCATAGCCTGATTAACCAACAAACCTACCAACTTTGTACAATAGAACCAAAGTTGAAATGGACTTATGATACCGCAGCTGACAGGTGTCTCCACCAGACTTCTTGACAAGACTCTGTAGTTGCTATTTGCCCTGTTACCCTTTACACAAACACTGAAATGCTCTATGAAGTAGAAGAAGATGAAAAGCAGGTATGTATTAAGATCAATGACAAGGATAAGGTAAGAGCCGATCAAGGGCCATGACATTAGAAGAGCTGAAATTCAAAGCTCAATCTGTGCCCTGGTACTAATAAAGTAAACAAAGAGTGGAATGAGGAATAGACCTCTTAATTTAATTTTGATGAAAGTGGAGATTGTAAATGGAGTTTGAATGACATATGAGGTATTAGTAAGTAAGTATGCAACTACCATAAGGGAAACATGTGAGTAAGGAGCTTGCAGCAAACATGCAGCACCTGACACATTTGAAATGTCCTAGAAGGTTCTGGAAGCCTCATGTAACAAGGCCATCCATTATGTCAGGATTCATAGACTTCAAACCGAGCATAGACATATGTGGGCTGTGGACTATGGACGTTGGTTATAAGAGTGAGGCCCCTAGGTGATCATAATCACACTAGGATGAGGACTGAGAGGAGCTGCGGTATTGAAGTGGACAAGAGGCGGAATGAGGGACAAAACCTCCTCATTCCGTCATGGTTAAATACTAAGGAGTGGCTGTACTTAGAATGCCCTAGAATAGTAAGGAATGTTATAGAACAGGATGGAAACTCTTATGCATCGAATGAGTAATGATCATGTGGTTACAATGAGGACGATGAATAAGGAGTGTGAGGGAAAGGTGAGGCGACTAGAGACCGGGAACCAGGCTTAGGGGTGTCACATGATGGGATCGTTGGTACTTGTGATGGTCTGTGATCACGGGGTCATCACACATTACAGTAAGAACCTAGTGGCTTCAATTGCAAGAAGAACCTGCTGAATCTCAAGATCGTCAGGCTTACAATTCGGTGCACTCAGGTCCCCTAGGTCAAGGACAAGTTCTTGGACTTCAGAGGCCATCTTCCCATGCAGTAGGGAAGGGGGGAGATTGGGGAAGGGAGGATGTATTGAACTTAGGGGGATGAGTACAAGGTAGTTGAGGGGATAAGACAGGGTTGCTGTGTTGGGGAGACATTCCTTGTGCCAACACAGCTTGATGATATACTAAAGGTCCACAGCAGAAGCTACTACTTGGTACCAAGTGAAGAGTCAGACAGAAGACTAACCTACTGTGGAGAGGACTGCAAATGAGACAGAAGGCTCTGAGAAGTAAGGGACAGGAGACAGAAGTCTGATCACAAGATTGGACACAGCGTGGAAGCCTGTCAGGGGGTAGAGGTGTGGCATACGGTTATCTGCTGCCTCTTCCAGGGTGGACCCACTCTATGCCAGTCTGGGGCTGAGGTAATCCATGTTACATAATCTCCTTTCCATAAGATCAATGGGATTTGGTGTTACTGGAAATCTTGGACATAACACAGGGTTAACATGGAAATAGTGGAGACCAGGTGACTAGCTTTATTGGGCTGTGGGGTGTTGGCCTTTGGGGTTTTGGAGAAGCAGGACCTTAGTCCTGACAAAGATCTGGCAAAAGATGGCTATAGCTCTCATTCTACTGTGATGATGACAGCCAACACTTCTGTTTGCCCACACAACCATCAAAGCACTATCATTGATCCCCTTGAGCAAAAGAAGCCAGAGGAGCTTTATATCAGAAGCAGTAAAATTAATGGCAGCATCATCATCAAGTATAATCACATACTTGCAAGTATGTTTTGATTCTCCTGTTAACACTGGTATCTATCCATGTGACAACTAACAGATTTGCATGGTCTGATCTGGTCACAACCTTGGTAAGATGTGATGTTATCAAGGACATGTTATCAAGGACACTGACAGATCGGAGGAAGGAGATTATTCAAGTTATATCTGAGTTTTGCCCACTACCCTACATGAGGCCTCTGCACCAGGATGTGTCAGCACATCAGTCAGCACATCAGTCAGCATATCAATCATGGCCTCATGGTGTTCGTATGTTTCTTAGTAAGCTATGGTCATGAGTTGTAGAATGTTCTTTACAGTTCTGCTACTTTCCGGTCCCTCCCCCACTTCCGTGTATATAAATACCAGTCTAAGTGAGGAGGGTTGAGGGTTGTTCCTCACTTTGCCTCTTGTATTCTACCAGTCAAAGTATCCCTCAGCAATTGTCCTAGTGTGAATACGTTCGCCTAGGGATCTCTCTCTGTTGACCACTCAGTAACGACCTGCACTCCAAGAACCTTCGAGCAAAGCCATTCTCAAGAACCAGTCCTCTGACTGACGTTGAGGCCTGACAGATCTGATGCATGCAGTAATGAAGTTAACAAAAGGTAAGTTGAAAACTAAGAAGAAGGGGGTGTAGAAACAAAGAGTGCCTGAGTAGAGAGCAAGAGAAAAAAAGGGCACTGGGTCGTAGAGGCTAGCAACAGGGAGCAGCACATAGCATCGGTTATATCAGATCATTCTGTATTACTTACAATATTCCTGCACGCACCCTAGCTTGATATTTCCAGGCTTTTACTAAAGCCTACCAGAAGACAAATGAATCAGAGGCCATAATTGTGCTTTTTGTAAGGATGAGGGGTACCGGCTTAGGTCTCCGATGTGGAGGAGGGTTCTAAGGGGTATAGGACAAGGAAAGTATCATTGAGGTAGAGATAGATCTCAACTACAAGGTGGATCAGGAAGAGTAGTTGACTACAGTATTTAGCCACTCCGTGGGACAGTTTTTGTTTAGTCAGGTACTTCTCACCGACAAACAAACAATAGGTCTCGAAAACGGGTGATTTATATAAGCGTGCTATTTCTCCGAAGCTTACAAAAACTGGTATTGCGGGGGAGGGGCCCTTCTCGGAGAAATGAGACGGTTCCTGAGAAGGGTCCATATCGTGTGAAATGAGTCCTTGGGACATGAGACCACCCCTCCCATTGTCCATCGAGATCTCCCTCATTTCCAGTCCAAACCACATCATTCCTCCTCCTCCTCATCGCCCGACTCCTCCGCCTCCTCATTGCCATCTTCGCCGTCCAAAATGGCCTCAAAGAAAGAGTCAGTGGGTGTTGCGGGTCGGGGTGGGGCTTTGGGAGCTGCGGGTTTCCTCCGGCCGGCTCGCTGAGCTGCTTTGCATGCTTTCTGATGCTCGCTGACCTGCTTTGCTCGAATCTTCTTACGCTCTGCGACATCTTGAGCTCTCCACTCCTTTTTAGCCTTCGAAATCGTGGCCTTTCTCGCTTGGAGTTCCTTAGCAGTGAGTTTCTCCTTCGCTGTCTCCTCATCCTTCCGAACAGCATCTCAGAATTCAACTGATGTTAACAACCGTGCAGTCCCACTCGAAAGAAGTTTTGCCCGACTATTCTTGCCTTTGGACATCTTCTTCAATTCCAGGAGGGAAGTCCGCAGCCTCGCAATTTCCAGGTGAGCCAGCACCAGCTGCGCATTGCTGGTCTCAAGACACGACTCCAATACATCGCTAAACATCTTCGCTTTAGCCAGCTGCTGCTCAATGTGATGACCTCATCACCATGACATAATATTAGTATCTATTTGTATATGTTTGTGTACGATTGTTGTTGTGTGTTTCT